TTTTTTTGTTGTTGTTGAGCCATCATCATTGTTTGGCGGGCCCAGGCTGTATTTGAACTCGCCACCTTAGGTGTATGTGGCTGGCGCCTTAGCCACTTGAGCCACAGGTGCCAAGCCCAGAAACTTAATTCTATGGAGAAAACAAAACCTCCCACTTACTCTCAAAAGCATTTATTAAGCCCCTATCTGCTTGTGTTAGAATTTTTACTATGCAACAGCAGTCATGTCCTGCCCTCCAGCCCAAATTATCACTGCTTCCATTTATTGCCTACTCCGTGAGAATGAGGAGGGAAGAGGCAGATCAACTTCAGTGAGTATCCAGCAGACAAATCACGCAGCTGGTAGGTCATGATTTTTAAATGTATACTCTGATGCAGCTGCCAACTCAAAATCTCAAAAACAGTTTTTGTTTATTTACAAAATTCTGGAATGTAATTTTCAGATAACATAACATAAAGCTATGTTTTACTTACCGCTGGGGTAGGAGTCTATCATTAGCCAGGTAGCCTGGTTTATGAGTCTCTTTATTATAATCTCCGTACTTGGCCTGGACAGCATAGGAAGCCAAGAGAACTGCAGTTTCTGGTGGGCAATATACCTCATCATTTAAGATGGCTTCTTTAACTTGCAAGAAGAAAAGTCTCTGGGTTATTTCTTGAATTAATTCCTCAGAAACATCTTCAGGAAAGAATTTAGCTCTAAACTTGAACTGTAAAGGGTTCTCTTTTTTAACATCTTGTTGTGTTACCTGGAACAGTAATTTCAAGTATAATCAATGAAAATCTTAAGTTTATGATCACTGAACTCAAGTTATATCAAATTCTTTTTGGAAGCACGTAAAATAAAAGATTCTAAATCTTTAAGCAAGAATCAGCTTAAATCTGTAAACAACTATATATGAGAAAATGATTCTATGCTCCAGAATGTGACCTGTAACTTACAGTTTCCACCTAAAAACCACACTGAGGACAGCTCTTCATATCCTTGAGAAGTGTATCCTACATGTGTTTAAATCAAGTCAAAGTACTTAGTTATACAATTTGTAATACTTGCTTAAAGATAATATTTCTTATGTGCTAAGTTTTCAAATAAGAAAAGTGAACATTTCTTTTTTTCTAAGACAGTAAGCTGACAGTGCCTAATAAATTAAAAGACTAAATTATACCTCTTAATGATTAATTAACACAGATAACTGCAAAAGGACACTTGGAATCAGACTACTAGCTGTTCCAGCACAAATTCATGATAACTTTAATTATTAGTTTAATATTATCATACATTTTACCTTTTTGTTTAGTTTGAGCCATGTGGAATAGCCTTTGCTGTCGACATATTGCAGCCCAAAAAACCAGACCTCACGCAAACCAACTGTTTTCACCACCTTAAAAAAAAAAATCCATTTCAGTTTAAAATTCACATTGTATCTAAATGACAAAACTACATAGATATAGGTATATTCATTCCTTTGCTGTAAGAAAGGTCTTTCCTGCTAGGCGCCCGTAACACAGTGGTCATGGCGCTGGCCACATACACCAAGGCTGGCAGGTTCAAACTCAGCCCAGGCCAGATAAACAACAATGACAACTACAACAAAAAATAGCCATGCGTTGTTGCAGGTGCCTGTAGTCCCAGCTACTTGGGAGACTGAGGCAAGAGAATCTCTTAAGCCCAAGGGTTTAAGCCCAAGGGTTTAAGTGATGCTATAGCACCCTACCGAGGGCAACATAATGAAACTCTCTCTCAAAAAAAAAGAAAAGAGTCTGATATATTCCATGTTCCACCTTTACTGAACAAGAAACCATTCTTAGAATGTACCATAAATTTCACACTTCTATACCTTTGCTCATACTGTTTCTTTTGCCCAGAATATTTCTTCTATAATTTTACCACCTGTTGAATAATTTCTTCCTTAAGAACTAGCTCAACTAGCACGACTTCTATAAAGCTCTCCTATTATCGAGATAAAATTGCTCGTTCCCTGATACTCCCATAGTACTTTATCGTACCATGACTAACTATTGCTAATACGTCTACTAGTAACTTGACTGTGTAATACTTAAGGACAGAGATTATTATTTTATTTTTATTTATTTTTATTTATTTTTATTTTCTTTATTTTTTTGAGACAGAATCTCACTATATTGCCCTAAGTAGAGTGCCATGGTGTCACAGCTCACAGCAACCTCAAACTCTCGGCCGTAAGCGATTCTCTTGCCTCAGCCTCCCAAGTTACTGGGACTATAGGCGCCACCACGACACCCAGCTATTTTTTGTTGCAGTTGTCATTATTGTTCAGCAGGCCCAGGCTGGGTTCAAACCTACCACCTTTGGTGTATGTGGCTGGTACCCTACTTACTAAGCTACAGGCCCTGAGCCAGATTATTATTTTATTCATCTTAATGCCTATGACATCTCATAGAATGATTAGCCTGTGGTAGGCCCTCAGAAGTATTAGAATAAATAAAGTGGTGGAACTAGGATATACACCCAGCACTGTTCCCAAACTTAAAAGCATGTGTCAAAAAACAACAGCAATAACAAAAAAATCCTACATTTTTTTTTTTTTGAGACAGAGCCTCAGGCTATCCCCCTGGGTAGAGTGCTGTGGCATCACAGCTCACATCAACCTCCACTCCTGGGCTCAAGCAACTCTCCTGCCTTAGCCTCCCAAGTAGCTGGGACTGTAAGTGCCCACCACAGCGCCCGGCTATTTTTTGGTTGCAGCCATCATTGTTGTTTTGGCAGGCCCGGGCTGGATTTGAACCCGCCACCCTAGGTGTATGTGGCTGGCACCTTAGCCACTTGAGCCACGGGCGCCGAGCCAAAATCCTACATTTTCAAAATGAGGAAAATGAGCCAGTGAAGATGAAAGTTCATTAAAAAGCTTTATAAAAGATTCAATATCAGTTCTTAAGTGATAAATATTCTTGGTGTATATTAAAAAATAATCTTAGGCTCGGTGCCCATAGCACAATGGTTACGGCACCAGCCACATACACTGAGGCTGGTGGGTTCAAACCTGCCCAGGCCAGCCAAGCAACAACAAATGCCACAACAACAACAAAGAAATAGCTGGGCATTGTAGCAGGTGCCTGAAGTCCCAGCTACTTGGGAGGACGAGTCAAGAGAATCACTTAAGCCCAAGAGTTTAAGGTTGCTGTGAGCTGTGACGCCACAGCACTCTACCGAGGCAAAAAAAAAACGGCCAAAAAAAAAAAAAATCTTAAAATATGCCATGCTTTTATTTCAAGACAGCAAATTGTTTACTTTCCCTTTAGTTTAGTTTCCCTCTCTTAAAAAATTTCACTGAAATGATACACACAGAAAACATTAAAAAGAAAAAAATTTTAGCTATGCTGGAAAATAGGAAAGGTTACTGTCAATAAAACAAAAACTGAGAAATTTCTAAAGACATGGGATATAAGGACTTATATTGGTGATAGAAAAACTGACAAATGCTAAACAATTAAAAACTGAATGTGGAAAAAACTTTGGCAGAAGATAGATCGTCCCAGCAGAGCCACAGATAACAAACACTCAAGAGTGACAGCAGTCAGAACGTCTAGGTCGAGAACAGCAGGCAGAAGAGTAACCAAGTGTCCGGCCCAGCTTCTGTCCCCGTGCTGAGTGAGATTCACAACGCCAGCTAAGTAAAAGGGGACGTGCTCCAGGGGGTATGGGTTACAAGGACAGTCACCTTAACTAACTTCATCATCACAACAAGTGTCAGGAGGGACAAGACAGCTCAAGCTGTGAGATTCCCTAACAGAACCTGGCTCCCCCGTGGCTCTTTCCTGACTTCTGACACTACTCTCAGAAACTTTCAAACACAGACCTTTACAATTAAAAAACTGCCTGGGCAATAGCTAGATATATTACAAATAATACACTAGCATGCTAGTGCACCACAAAGCTTATAGTTTAAAATAATTTGGAAGACAAAAGATAAAAACATAAACAAGTATTTTAATATTTCTTGCCCCCTAAAAGATCTTCTTATGCACTCCTTAGGGATGTGAACGTTCCCTACTTTAATCCCACAAGTAGAAGCTGGATAAACAAGAGAGTGGGCAGAGAGTCAGCAAAGAGCAAACCTACGACTTCAAGCCATCAGAGCCCCTAAACACAAAGCAGCTGCCCTCAGTCTAACTTCAAAACAGAGGTGGGGCTTTTGCCCGGACTCATGTAGCTAAATGATCTCATCTGAGAGGATTCAGGCTGCTCTTGGCCTCACCTGAACCCATCTCTGTGCCAAACGCACTATGCCCAAAGTAAAAAGCCTGTTTTTAAATCCCCACACTTGGGTTTTAAAAGAAATTGTTAGGAAACAGAACAGAGAGTAAAGAATTCCTGAGAAGAGCCCCGAACAGATAGTAACACTATGTACTCAGGCATTCACCTACAAGGATACATCCTGACGACTGTGCTGTCAGATGACTGACTGCACATGTGAATACAGACTGCACTGACACAAACCTAGAGGCACAGGCTGCCACACACCTACACTTTGTGGTGTGGCCTCTGCTTCCAGACTACAAACTACACAGCATGTTACTGTACTGAATACTGCACTATGTGTATCTGAACACATCTTAACATAGAAAACGTACAGTAAAAAATATGGCATTATAATCGTATGGGACCACCATCATATATGTGGCCAGTCACTGCCTAAAATGTTATTATGCAGCACAAGACTATTTATATACCAGGGATGCCAAAAAAAGTATATACATTTTAAGAGATGTTTTCAGAAATGTCAATGCAGATGGTAACCACTTGAGCACCTCTTGTAATTACAGAAGTCAAACATGACTTGTGTTCATCTTTAATTATCAGTATATACTGAGTATTACAATTTTAATTTTACAGTCTTTTTCCTTTCTTAAAATTGTATACAGTTTTTAGCACCCGCTATATAGATATAGAAATAAAATTATCAAATTCTTGTTCTATACCCTTTATACAGATTTAATTCTTACAACAACCCTCTGACAGAAGAATGTTATCATCATCCTTACTATACAAATGAGAAATGTAAGGCAAAAAAATTAATTCATCCAAAGTCAAACTCTCCAGCTGGGACCACTGTGGGCAGTGTGGCTCTGGAGCACACTTTTAAATCACCACCCATGACTGCCTTAAAACAAATGAGATTTCATTTTCCCTGGTATTTAAACAAAAATAATTCTGCTTAATAAAAAATAATGTTTTTCAATATCTAATACAAAAAAGCCTCAGTTGCTCATTAACTACAAACATTGCACTTCCTATAAACAGTATTTCACTTTGCTATGAAGTACAGTAAATGCTAACTCCACGCATTTCATTCACTAGGACAGAGACCACGTATTTATAAACACAAGGTTGAAAAGAATCAATGGAAGTGACTATTAGTTCATAAGGTGTGGTACATTTAGCTGCTTATGAGTCTGCTTTAAAATTTTGCTCACACACAAAAAAAGCCTTTCATTTTCCAGAAAGACCTTATCAGAGCTTTAAAGTTCATTAATTACTCTTCAGGAGATTAAGTACACTAGTTATCAAGAGAAGAAACAATTTTCCAGGAAATTAAAAATTTTCAATTCTTCAGATTTAGTTCAGTATATGATAGAATGACAGCTAATAAAACCAAGATCTCTAACATGTTTACTGCTACCATGCTAGAAACTCTCTCATTCCTTAAGATCAAGTTAGTCTGACCAAAGATTACTGTTCTCTGCTAAGTTACCCCCCTCTAAGTCTCACGCCATGTCAGATATATCACCTTCTCTCTTTGCAATCATCTCCTCACCGGTTTACCTAACCTCTAGGGACAATCCCTTTCCTCCTTTACTCAGTAGAACTGGATTAGTTACAATATTACAATACAGCATTACTTGAGGAGCATAGTATTTTAAAATACTGTTCAGAATAGACCTAGACAATTAAATCAGCATCTCTAGAAAGAGGTTTCCAAGCATTGACTTTAAGTTCCACAGGTGACTTCAACATATACATGAAACTGAGAAAAAAAGGCAAGGTCACAAGTACAGGTTTCTTTTTTTTGAGACAGGAGCCTCAAGCTGTCCCCCTGGGTAGAGTGCCATGGCATTTCAGCTCACAGCAACCTCCAACTCCTGGGCTCAAGCGAGTCTCCTGCCTCAGCCTCCCAAGTAGCTGGGACCACAGGCGCCCGCCACAACACCCAGCTATTTTTTGGTTGCAGCCGTCATTGTTGTTTGGAGGGCCCAGGTTGGATTCGAACCCACCACCTTGGGTGTATGTGGCTGGCACCTCAGCCACTTGAGCCACAGGCACCGAGCCAGAAGTACAGGTATCTTAACTGACATACCTGACCATGAGCCCTGGCTGGCACTTCATGCACCTCTGACACCAAATGCTGTTAGTTGTCTCCTTACAACATAGCTATACACATTGAGCACCCTTAATCCAAACATCAAAAATCCAAAAGCTCCCTAAATCTGTGATTTTTTGAGTGTCAACATGATGCCATAAGCAGAAAATTCCACATCTGACTTTATATGAAGAGTCCTAGTCAAAACTTTGTTTTACACATAAAATTATTACAATTATAAAATTACTTTTGGGTTACATGTATAAGATGTGTATGAAACACAAATAAATTTCATCTTTAGATTTATATACCATTCCCAAAACATCTCATTATTCCTAAAGTTGAAAAAAATCTAAAATCCTAAAGACTCTGGTCTTAAGCATTTTGGATAAGGGCTGCTTGACCTGTGACTCCCTGTGACTCTGCCCCTGCTATCCCTTCTATGCAGAGTGTCTCGGAATCCCTTCCAGCTGCCATCACAATCATTCTCAGAGCAGATGTTAAATAAGTACCTGCTGATCATTACTATTTAAAAAGTCCTTTCCCACAAATGTAGGAATGAATACAAAAGAATAAAGAAGTCCTCTGTTGCTATTTAAGGTATCTGAATAGGCAATGTGAAAAATTCCACGTGCTGCTTTGCTGGGTTGTTAATAAAGGTACAAGAAAACATAGGATGAAATAGCATCCACAAGTGGTGTCCAAAGTCACACACTTCATATGGTTAAATGATACCTGGTCAAAAAGTTGTTTGCCAGTTGTATTGGGCTGGATGGCAAATTCCAGCTCGGCATCCATTGTGGTTACTCGTACGTTGATCTGTAATAAAAATAAAAGAGATAACAAGTAGAAAAGAAAATATACTTATTAAGTATTAGGCACGATAAAATACTTCAATTTATAATGTTTTCTTTATTTGATAAAGTTGGACCTTATCCACAGGTTACCTTAAATCTATTTGCAAAACAAATGAAGTCTTCATTTCAAAACATCTACTGAATATATACTGAACATATACTGAACATCACGCCAAAAGTTTTCTATACTCTTTCCATACTCTTTATTTAGCCCTTCCAACAATACTAGGAGGTATTTAAACTGAGGTCTAACCCCAAATTCTTTGAAGGTCAATCACTATCCCATATTTCTTCCAACACAGAAATCAGACACTTAGTTTTATTCATTCTGCAAATGTATTCTCAAAATTATTCATAAAGCAGTCCTTTATTTGCTAGACTCTATGTTAAATATGACTTTTCTTGGGTAATACCTTTCTAACGATCTCAAAAACTTACCGAAATAATTTTTACCCAGAATAGCATCTTCACCTAGAATTCCTTATGTGGTCCAAATTTATACTTTTTCATTATTTTATCTTTATTAACTTATTTCTCTATTAATTTCCCCCTACCTTGTTATTTCTGTACCTATTTCTAACAATCTTTACTTTTCCCTTTACCAGCATAAACCTACAGTCATTCCTACTTTGTTTCTGTAACAATTATATTTAAGGTTTTTAGTCATGCTTGCTTCTGCATGTTTCTACGTAGCCTTTTCCATCAGCCTGCAGGCTTACTAAGGCCAGAATTTGTGCCACTTTATCTTCTTAACTTCTAACTACCGTAGACCAGACTTATTTCCACTTAAGTAACTTACTGATTCTAACGATTACAACCTCAGCACACGCAATGGCTTTTACCTGCAATATCTTCTTTAATCAAATCTTACTGATTCATCCTTCTTTAAAATAAAGTAACTTTTATTTGTCTTTAAGATATATATACATATATATTTTACAAAATACATTTAACATATATAAACAATGAAGCATAATAAAATGAAACCCATAAATCCACCATCCAACTTAATTACTAGAAATAACAATAATACTGCATATGCCACTGTATTTCATCTTGGTAAGGACCCAATCCCCAACACCTCATAGGTAAGCACCAAACTGAATTTTGTGTTTGTTATTCTCTTACTTAAAAAAAAAAAAGTTCTGGGTGGGAGAACTCAAAGGAGTGGCTCAAAGGAGTATGATGCTGGCCCCATATGCCAGAGATGGTGGGTTCAAACCCAGCCCTGGCTAAAAACTGCAAAAAAAAAGTTCTATCAAAAAGGGGGTACCCATATATAAAATAATTTCACTTTTCTTGTTTTGTAGCTATAATTCCTTAGTACTTGCTAATAAAGTCTTCTTTCTTGATACAGGCAGTGATTACCTGAGTATATTCAAATTATGAAAATTTATCAACTACACACTTTTGATATATTCTTTTGGGCATGTATATTCCATTTCAATTAAAAAGATACTTTACAATTTAAAAAAGTTTTAAAAAGATATTTTAAAATTATACCACACTAGTTTGAATTTGTAAGTTATATTCCTAAGGGTCACTGTTTTTGTAATTATAATTCATTTTCACTGCTATACAATACTCTACATGTGATTAAACAGTAACTTATTTACTCATTTTCCTCTCAAATGAATATATTTCCAGTTTTCTGGATATTAAGAATACTGCTGTGAACATTTTTGTACATGTCTCCTAGCACACATGTCTGAATTTCTCTAGAAGTATAAACTCAGAGTTCCTGGGTAATAAGATGTGCATACCTTTCCCATATAACGCTGAATTTTCTTACAGCTTATGCTTGCTGGTCTGTATTTCCACTAACAATGGGTATTATGAGATTTCTTAGTGTTTGACAATCTACTAGGCGTAAAGTATTATCTCAGTGTGGTCTTTCCATGAGGATCCCAGACTGCTGAAGAAGCTAACAAGATTTCTATACACAGTACATGGCACACAAAATCCTAAGATGGCCCCATGATCTCTGCTCTCCAGGCATTAAGCCCATCATTATGTTACATTACATGTTAAAAGGAATTTTGCAGACCAAGTGCAGTCCCAGCTACTCAGAAGGCTGAGGCGGGAAGATCACTTGAGCTCAGAAGTTGGAGGTTGCTGTGAATTATAGTGATGCCACTGCACTCTAGCCTGGACAACACAACAAGACCCCAATTCAAAAAAAGGGATTTTGCAGAAGTACTTAAGGTTACTAATCAGTTAATTTTAACACAGGAAGATAATCGACATGGGCCTGATCTAAGCATGTGAGCCCTTTAACAAAACAGAGTTTCCTTTTACTGGTTGCAGAACAAGTTAGAGAGATTATAAAGTGTGAGAGGTATTTGACACAAGAGGTTCTTTGTTGCTGAACTGAAGGAGTTAGGGGACAAAATCAGAGACCGGCCTCCAGGAGGTTAAGAGTGGCCCACGCCAACAGCTTCATCCTTCAGGAAAGAAGAATACATTACCCTATAACAAAATGAATTCCGCCAATAAGCAGAATAAACTCAGAAGAGAACCCCCAGCTCCAGTGACAACATAGCAGGCCACACCTTGATTTCATTCTAGCTAAGACTTTGAGCAAGGAAGCCACTCACATACTCCCAGATTTCTAATCTACAGAACTGTGAGAGGATAGGTGGGTGAGCGGTGGTAATCTGATATACAGCTGCAGATACTAACACAGCAGGTTTACTGACCACACAGGCGCCTCGCCTTTCAAACTTCTATTCACATATTTTGCTTATTTGTCTATAAGGCTGTTTTTTTTCTTCCTTATTCTTTTTTTTTTTTTTTTTTTTTTACAGAGCCCCTCATTGTCACCCCGGGTAGAGTGCCCATGCATCACAGCTCACAGGAAACCCCAACTCCTGTGCCTAATTATTCTTTTTTTTTTACCACAATGTTTTATTTTATTTTTGTTTTGTTTAAATGCGATTGTTTTTTTTCTTCCTTTTTTTTTTAA